ATCGAATGAATTTAATAAGAAATCTAAGTGAAATGGTTAATCTATTATTGAAATTACCAGTAAACTTATCATCAATTTCAATATGAAAACCTAAAATAATGCAAAAATTTCAAAATAAAAATAATTAAAAAACTAACCCTCGGAGGTTGATTTTCCATTTCTGAATGATTGTGAGGGATTTCTGACCGTGAATGGTTGTGAGGGATTTCGCCGGCGATGGGGACGGAAATCTTCGGAGATGGGGACGGATTTCGCCGTAGAGAGTGAGAGATGGAGATGGGACTGAGTGTTGTGATTTTAGGTTTGAGGTTATAAGTTGCGATTACTGTGGACTGTTCAGTTTTCGATATATTAAGAAAAAATTCGTGTTTGGAATTTGAAAAAAAAATACACGTTAATACGAATGGCGCTATGTAAATCTCATTGCGATAGTCAGATTCGCATTGCGATTTACGTATTCGCATTGCGATTTTCCTAATTCGTATTGCGATTTACTTAATCACGTTGCGATTTACGTATTCGCATTGCGAATTATGAAAATCGCAACGCGAATACGTAAATCGCAATGCGAATTAGGAAAATCGCAACGCGAATTTGGGAAATCGCAATGCGATAGTCAGAATCGCGTTGCGAATTTGGAAACTGATTTGCGATACCGGAGATCGCGTTGCGAATTATCGATCGCATTGCGATTTAGTTGGTCATTTTGGCAAATCTAAAAAAAGTTGGTTAAATTCGTATATTATAAGGCATTTTTTGTCACTGAGATTATTTTCTCGGTTTATGCCAGTTGCCCTACATGACCAACATTTCTTTATAACTAACACAAAGTGAGTACAACCTCAAGGCTGTTTTTATTTAACCTTGAGAAATACTGTCAAGTAAATGCTATATTTTTCATTGTTTCAAAGTTTTACCCTGTCCAGAAATATTGGTTTATTTAACTCTTTTTCATGTATATATATATATATATCTTTTGTTTGCTCACATGATTCCTATGGGATGAAGAAAATCTTGAGGTATGGATTTAGTTCCAATGTAGCCTCTTTTAGTCATAGTTACATTGATAGACCCTTTGTGCCTCGCTTTCTACCATCTGTTTTGACCATCCAACCCTCATGTTGCAGTGGGAAGACAACTCACTGGAGATCAATTGTTTTTTCAAAAGCTATGGACCAACATCCAAGTGAGGCTTTTGTCGTAGTTATTGTGATAGGGAAATGTTTTTAATGTTCCTCCTCCTTTCCGATGAATGCATTACTAGTTACTAGTTTCCTTTGTAATTTTATTGTTACAACATGCATCCATACTTCAATTGATATTATATGTAGTACTTAATGTCTTTTGTTATGGTTTTAATGGCAGAATAAAGATGTAATGGATGCAATTCAGAAGGTAGCTGCAGCTTATGACTGCAAAATTGTTGAAGGCGTTCTTAGCCAGCAACTGAAGCAGTTCGTGATAAAATGAAATTATTATGTTTTTAGTGAAATATTTGTTTAAATCTTATTATTTGTAATAATTGAGCTATTTTTTTTTAGATTTGTATAAATAATTTTATTTTAATATATTCATTAAAAATGTGACAATTTTTAGTTTTGCCACTATATTGGTGACATTATATATGGTGACGTTATGCATAATCATCATCATATTATTAGGTAACAATATATTAGTCACTAAAAATGTGACAATATCTTTTTCGTCACATAAAGTTGATTTTAATGCATTTGTGACATATAAACTATCAATAATGAAATCTTATTTAATTTAGTGGCGTAACCAACTGACATAGAATATAAATTATAAAGCGACGTTATGCATAGACGTCTTCATAATATTATTATGTAACATTTATATTGTCACAAAAATTTGACAATATCTCTTTCGTCACATATAGGTTAATTTTAATGTATTATCTGTGACGATATAAATCATCAATAACGAAATTTTACATAATTTAGAGACATAATTAGTTGTCATTGAATATTAATTATATTGTGACGTTACGTTACTAAAAATGTGACAATTTTCTTTTCGTCACGTATACAATGAAATTATTGTGTTATTGGTGACGATATATTTATTAATGACGAAAATGTACATCATTTGATGACAAAGTAATTGTCAATGAATGCAACTTAAACTGTGACGTTATCTATTAGCATCAATATATTTAACAATACATGACGATAACACATACATCGCCACTTTTGACTTTATGACACACCTAGGGTGACGATCATCGTGACATTGACTTTACGTCACAAAATACATCTAGTGATATAAATTGAAGTTTTAGTAATAATAACCTAGATGCTACTAATAAGAAAATTTGTTGTAGTGCGTATATGTTTCATATAAACAACAAGATAGTGCACTTTGTTCTTGGCTTTTGTCTTCTGTTGGTTCTTCGATTCTACCGTCATTGGTAAGTTGTAAACCGGCTCTGGAGATCTGGGAGAAGATTCAACAATCGTTTTCTGTTTCTTCTACCACAAAGATTATGTATCTTCATTGTTCTTTGAAAAATCTTTGCAAACATGATCAGAGTATAAAGGAGTATCTTTATCAAATTCAAGCCATTGTGACAATCTTGCTACGTGTGGCAATCCACTAACGGAAACTATGCATATTTCTGTCATTCTTTCTAGTTTGCTTCCAGAGTATAAGCTGATAGTGGTCGTCATTACCTCGAGTCAACAACCCTACAAGATTGTCGGTGTTTGCAGCATTCTTCTTGATAAAGAGGCAAGATAATTAGAATTCTGGAGTCAAAACGTTGTTAATATTTTAGCCAAGTTCTTGAGAGAGTGTAATATTCCTGATGATAATAAATTTTTTTTCTTTTTTGTGATGCTTGTCAGTTAGGCAAGAGTCATAAACTTCCATTTAAAAAATATGTTTCTGTTTATGATCAGCCTTTGCAACTTGCTCAATGGATTTATGGGGACATGCTCCTCTAGTTTCTAACAACTCTAGTTATATATTAGTTTTGTTGATGCATGCACGAGTTTCTATTTTTTGGCTTGGAAATCGGATGCTCGTATTGTGGTTCTTTCTTTTCATACGATAGCTAAACAGTTTATTTCCAAACTAAAAAGAGTTCAATCTGATTGTGGCACTGAGTTTAAATCGTTAGCTATGCACTTTGTCAGCATGGTATTTATTTTTCAAAATTCTTTCCCTTATACATTTGAACAAGACGGTTGATTGCGCGAAAACATCATCATATAGTTGAGCTTAGTCTTACACTCATGGCTCAAGCATCTATACCTTTCAAAGGTTGTTCAGTAAACAACCTTATTATAATGAGACCAAAATTGGGGAGAAAATGCCTTTTTATATCCAAAGACTTTGGGGCCATTCAGCCCGCGCCTCCTTGGTCTCCAACACGCGCGTCCCCGTGTTTTATTGGGATTATTTTTCCCCTTTGGTTTTGATTTGTTTCAATTTAATCTCTATTCCATTGTAATTTCAGGTTTTAATTTTCAATTGATACAATTTAGTCACTATGCATCCTTTAATATTTCAGCTTTAAATTTTAATTATTTTAATTTAATACTTTCTTACATGTTTTAATCACCTTTTAATTTTAACACTAGGTTTTATAATCTTTTGATTTAGTCCTTGAATAATTACTTTAGCCTCTATATTTAACCTTAGATTTATTCCTTTTAATTTAGTCACTAAATTAGAAAACTATTGGTTTAGACTTGAACCTTTAAGATTAGGTTTCTTTTAATTGTGTCCCAACCTTTAAAGTTAGCTCATTAATTAGCAACCCAAGTTAATTTCAAATTTGATTAAAGGTAGTGTTTGTTTATTTTTAAATATTGAAAAATGACAGTCTTAAAGCAACTGGATGTTCGTTTCAATATTTTGAAATAAATAAATATCATCAGTGAAGACCTAAAAATCAAATAGGCTTAAAATTAATCAAGATAAAAGAAGAAAAAAATGTTCTTTTATTTAAATTTATTGAGGACAGTCGTTTGATTTATATTAAACTTGGTCTCAATCCTTTTAATAATTGAACATCCTTTATCTTATCTAAAAAATTGGGAAATTGGTTAATGTTTTAGAAGAATTACAATATTAATTTGTTTCAGTTGGAAAGAGAGAGTAATCATCTTAATTTAATTTAAGGGGTTATTTTCTCTTAAATTGAAAATAATGAAATATTGTCCGTTTCTCCTAAGAATTTTTGCTAATAAAATTATATAAATTTGTTGAAAATAAAAGGACCATAAATTAAATTTATATTCAAAATTTTTAATTTCCATTATTAGGGACAACGTATAATCTAGCAGGTATCAATTCTGGGTACTGTGAGGGTGTCAATCATTCCCCACACGTAATCGACTCTAAACCCTTTCAAAATGAATTTCTGGTAACATGCAGATCAATTTTGTCTTTTTAAAAGAATTTTATAAAAAAAATCTTTAAAAAACGTTTTTAGGCATTTAACCTACTTAACCCAAAGGTCGATGGCGACTCCATATTTTTTATAACATTTCAAAACCCGTCTAATACGGCCCAAAAAAAGCCGTTAAAAATACATTTATATAATAATAATTTATTTATAACTCAACTCGATACTCAAAATGGCTTTTGAGATAATCATTTGATGCTCAAAATCATTGTGGGATATTCGATATAAAATAGTTCATAATAATACTCGATAGCATGTTCGAAATCTGAATTTGACAGAAAATAATCGTATATGTCCTACCATAAAAAATCATTTAATATCAAATAAAATAATAATAAATAGAGAAAATCACATGCAATTAGTTGAATTCAGATTTTAAAATTTGGGGTGTTACAAATAAAGTTATATATTATTGATATGTGCACACAATTATGAACTTTAATCCAACATAGATACCTATATGGTAATTAAATGAAAGTTGAATTTGGCTAGGAAAAATGAATACAAAGAAAATAATCCTTTTTTTAATTCCACCATTACCAATTCAAACTAAGACATGATTTTCTTATATTACAATTTCCTGATAAACAAAAGAAAACAGCCAACAATGGTATACTTAATGCACCAGCAGTGCTCACCAGCATTGAACTTTCCTCACATCGCACTTAATGCGACGAAAGAAAGAAAAAAGAAATACAATTGTTGAACAAACGGGACAACGCTGATGCATGAGTCCATGGAGGTCCCCGTGCGACGGAGAGCTTCCACCAAAAGGACACTTGTGCACGGGTCATCTCCATGGCAAACAATGCATCAGATTCTCTATTTTTTTTTACAGATTAAAGAATAAGAAAAAAAACACAAGTAGATTGAACTACCCTTTTCTCCGTTACTGTCGAAAATCTGGTTTTCGGCTTAAGTTCTGGCTCGGACGAGGGGTGATTGAGGAGACGTAATGCCTGTAGGTGACACGAAATCATCCATTCTTCGAGATAAGCTTCGCGATAAGCTGGGTTTAAGGCTGCTGCGTCTGCAGAGTTTGCGAGGAACTATGGCGTCGTTGTTGTTAAGAATAAAGGTTCTGATCCTGGATAGAGCAACTTCCAAGGTGCTATCCTCCATGTTAGCAAAGCAAACCCTGAACCAACCTGGCTCCTGGCAATGGAAAGAAGAGCCTGGCGAAACATTGAGCTTAACTTCATTGATGATCACCCTCCACAAATCCATTTCACCTTCGAAAGTCATTTCTTTGAGGACTTTACGAAGGTCCATCCATATAAACAACCCTCCATTGCTCCTCAAAGAACCGATACCGACTTGCGAAAGACTCCATGTGAAATACTTGTGCCTTTTGAACAACTGCTCTTTGCTCTCCACTATGAAGTTATCAACGAAATCGTCGTCGTTTAACATCGTCGCGACCAAATGCTGTGTTTGTGAGGACACCAAGCCGTAGCTAGACATTTTCCGAGCACAATTCACCACAGCATCGTTGTACGAGTACACGATGCCGACTCGGAAACCAGGGAACCCCATGTCTTTTGAAAGACTGTAAACAATGTGGATAAGGTCACGGTTGCATTCAACTTCGTCTATAACCTCAGAAATGCTAACGAAATCAGGGTCCTTGAAAACTGTGGCCGCATAAATCTCGTCACCTATAAGGTGAATGTTCTTTTCGTTTACGAACCTCACTATGCTCCTCAATGTGCCGCGATCCATGATAGTTCCCAATGGATTTGATGGATTTGTTATGAGCAATCCCTTGACCCTGAGGTTAGCTTCTTCAGCTTTTTCATACGCAGCTTCCAAGGCGTTTCTAGTGATTTGGAAATTATTGCAACTTTCACAAATCACTGGAACAAGTTCTATTCCTGTCCTCCACCTCAAGTCACGATCAAATCTGCAAAATTGATACCATACATTTTACCATACAAATCTTATCTATATCAAATTTGCAGGTCTATGTACATTTAGTGCATCCAGCTATATATTATGCTTGAGTGTTAGGTGTATATGAGTAAATGAAGATGTAGACTGGTTGAAATGAAGATGACTGCTCAACTTTCTAGAGATTATTACTGTCCCACTGAGGATGATGATGATCTCTCATCTTTATAAGAAAATTTTTTCTCTATTAAGTTACCATAAAAAATACAGATATGGGCCGTCAACTTCAAAGGGCTTTGACATGAAAACTAAGAGACAACGTTGCTTTCATGATTCCATCACTGAAATGTGCACAGAAAACTTGGATCTCTCAATAATTTCCTTTTTTTTCTTGGAAAATGCTGAATTATTTATTTACCCAGATTTTCATTCCTTTTGAACCAATCCCAGGCGGCGACGTTGTCACATTTGACTTTACTGCTAAGTTGATTAAATTAATCAATTCTCATTAAACGAATCTTAGCCGTAATTTAATAGTTAATTAGCAATTCCTCTCCATGTGTGGGTTGATTTTAGGACAAAAGGTCAATGTTGGTCCTTTAGACATCTAAATGACATGAAATAAATCAGTGTTATTCGAGTTTGATTTAATCAAAGTTTTTAATGAGTTGTACCGAGCTACTTAATACCTGACTTGAAAAGTTTGCGAGCAACTCGAAAAAATATAAAGCTCGACAATTTTACTTCGAATTCGAATTGAGCTTGACAATTTTAAGCTCGTGAACTTTCGAATTGAGTTCGAATCGAACTTGATAATTTTAAACTCGTAAACTTATGATTCTAATTTAATTTTGAACATATTTGTAATACTTGAGGTGGACTGGACTCGTTTACAATTCTAGATCACTGTAAGCGTGAAGAGAAAAGCCAATAATAGGAAGAAGGAATTACCCTGGATAATATGGAGTGGGAACCAGTAATGCTTCACCGGGATCTGCCAAGCAAAAGGCAACCATTTCGTGAGCCCCAGTTGCTCCACCACTCATAACAATGCGGTCAGGGTCAAATTTCACTCTATCCCCCCTCACTTTCCCCATGAATTTTGCAACAGCCTGTTGTATACGCACAATTTTAATAAATGAGTGATTATAAGATAATATTTGATATTTCTTAATTATTGATAATGTACATACGTAGAATCATATATCTCAAAGGAAAATTACATTTATTTCAACCACAGAGACCACTCAATATATTCTTAAACAATGAGGGTTAATTAGTCAACATCTTATGAATTATAAGAAAGTATTTATTCGAGTACCTGTCTGAACTCGGGCATCCCATGATAATCCTGGAAAAGAGCAGTCTCTTTGAATTTGTAGACACCTTCCGGAGTGCAAAGGGAGGCCTCTGGGTGTTCCATTAGCCACTTTTTGATGAATTCAAAGCAAAGCTGGATAACATAAAGACAGTGAAATTGAGATCATCAGTTACCTGCAGATTCTCTCAGCTATGAGTAGTGGAAAATTCATTTCATGGAGGTCTGTAACAATTTACCTGATTCTCAGCTAGACCCATTTGAATGACACCATCAGGCCTGTCAATAGCGTGAAATGGATTGACCTCATATGCCTTCCATCCATCAAAATAAGGTGAGTTTTCACCATGGCCATTCCCAGTGGCAATCTTAGACATGGAAACCATTTTTTTTAAAGTAGGAATGAAAAATAGATTAAGCTTTGCAGAAGAAGAAACACAAGAAGAAAAGTGATTACAGATGAGAAAGAAATTGATTAGTTAATGGTGAGAGAGTGTTGGGAAATGGTTTGAGGAGATGTGGAATGATTGTCTGGCAGTATATATATATATATGTATAGGCTTAGAGGTTGATGGTATATACGTGTATAAAGTTTGTGGTGGATGGGGTCTACATGAGAAGAAGTTGAAAGTTCCTGGAAGAGCACTCATGTTTGACAGGATTTTGGTAAATATTCATTTTTAACATTAATTTTGTTATTGGAAATTTAGAAAACTTGAATTTGGATCCCCCTCTCATCTTTACGACAAAGAGATTAGCATAATGGATGACAAATATACCATTAAAAATCACAACTTAAATGTATAAATAATGGTAAGGATCTTGGTACCTTTAACATCATATCTAAGTTTGATATATATATATTAACATTAAAAATGTTTGATAGTTATTTTAATTTGATAATTTAATCCAAAATATAAAAAATTCTTAAAATCTTTGGTGCTTTTCATTTTTCTTAGTTTTATGTATTTTTTTCATACAAAACTTACTATAATTTCAAAAAAGAAATTGAAACGGTTTTCTAAATGATTAAATTTCCTCCGACTATAGGATGTTACTTTGTTGATTCCCTCGAATATAGGATATGATAGTTATTTTAGATTTTAGGATCATATTTTATCACATATCAGTCAATAGGTTAACGTTCAGCTCAGATTGTTATCTATTTTTTAACGGAAAATCATAATTTTGGAATATATGAATAGTCAGATGATAATTTTGTAAATTTTAATAGTTAGAGGATTGAACAAAGTAATGTCATATAGTTCGGGGACCACTTTGTAAATTTTAATAGTCGATAGTCTCAATAAAACAACGCTTTATAGTTAGGAGATCTTTTTGTAACTTTTAATAGTAGATGAACTCAATAAAATAATATCCTATAATAGGAGAATTATTTGTGTACTTTATCCTTTGAAAATTTGAGTATATTTTTTTTGAATTTTTTAATTTAATATATAATGTTCCAAAAATAATCATAGGATTTTAAAAATAGAGAATAAGAAAAAAAGAAGAAAAATTATCATGTTTTAAAAGATATTATAAATTCTTAGAAAATGTGGAGTTTTCCCTTTTAAGCTTTCTTTTACATTTTTATTTTTGGATTTTTCATTTCTTTTAGAATCTTGTTTATTTTATTAGGTACTTAAGTGGATACAAAATTTGAGCGTCAATTTTATATAAAAACAAAAAAATATTTTGTTCTTCATGTTAAATTTGTTTATTTTGAATTTCAAAATGATTTTATTCAAAATATTTTATTAAAAATCAATAAATAATGACACTTATATTTTTTTACCTTTATTCTTTTATACCTATCAAAATAAATTTATCAAATCTATCAATCATTTTCTAAGAGGTAATCTTTTCATTTCTCTTATCTCAAATATGAGACATAATTAAAGAGAGGAAAAAAAAGTATTTACCAATGAGAGTGTAGCTCTGTTTTGAAAATCGGATCGGACCGGTCGGTTCAATCGGTTCAACCGGGAACCGTTGCTTAGTCCGGTTCAATCTAAACCGTTTGAACCGCTATTAGTGAACCGTTGAACCGTTCGAACCGGACCGGCTGAAAACCGGAAAAAATTGGGAAAAAACGAGATTTTTATTATTTTTTTTTAAAAAAAAAATTAAACCAAACAACGTCGTTTGTTAAACGAGCCAAGTCAAACTCGAGTATTGCTGAGCTCGACTCGAACTTGAAAACTTTAAAAGTAAGCTCAACTCAACTCAAACTCACAAGCTAAAAATTATCAAGTTCAACTCAAACTCGAAATATAATATTTAAACTTGAACTCAAAAAGGCTTGAACTCAAAAAAAATTTAGAAGCTCGATTGAAGCCTAAAATTCGAGCTTGATTGAAGTGAAAGAATAGTTCACTCAATGCTCACCAAAAGGCTCCATGATTTTGAATGCCAAATTACCTCTATTATTTATAGAAGTTAGTTGTGATGCGCTTCTATGTTTCTTAGCAATGTGAGATTGTTTTGTTCTCATATTTTCACTCTTTAGACTTTTGGGATGCTCTTCTATGTTTCTTAGCCATGTGGGATTATTTAAAAAAAAAATTAAATCAAACAATATCATTTTGTTATGATTTTTTAACCCAAAATTTATTTTTTAATTATAATTATATAATTATATTTATTATTTAATATATTTTACCTTAAATATTATGTTGTAGTTAATTTGAATCCTTTTGTTTTACTTGATTTTATGGTTTTTAACTTATATATATTATGACTTGCTTTGAATATGACTTGTGGTATAAAAAATTATTTTTTATTAAATATTTTTGATATTTTTATTCAATTTTTTAAATAATTATGACGTCATTCGGTTCTTTTGATCGGTTGAACCAATTCGATCGATTAAACCAATAAACCGATAACATGATCGGTTCGTTAACCGGTCTGGTTCTAAAAACCATGGAGTGTAGGGGCCAGTTTAAACAAACAGTGTATTGTATAGATTTTTTGAAAAAATATATATATTAACCTATATAAATATAATAATTTTCGTATTGCGGTGCGTTGAAATTTCAAAGACAGTGCACACAAATAAATACTTTTTAGATGAAACTTTTAGACTGCATTGCATATAAATAATTAGACTTTTTAGACATTATTATTTTCCTATTAAAATTATTTTTATTAAACTTTTAGTGGTTTTTTAATTTTAGTTATAATTATTTTAAATAATTAAATTTGATAAGATATTATATATATATTTAAAATTATTAGATTAAAAACTTTTAAATATATTTTTACATTTTAAAAATTTTGAAGAACAAGATGAATTATATATAAAATAATTAATTTTATTTATTGTTATTTATAAATATTTAATGTGTGGTTTTGGTAGTTAAAAAAATCCTGAATATATATTATCATATAATCACTTCATACTATTAAATGAATTACCAATTTTTATATTAATATCTATTTAATTTTTATTCTATTTTAATATTTGAGCTTGTCTGTGTTTCTGTATTGAAACTTTTTTTGTAGTAATATTTAAAAATGATACAATATTCTTCAGATCGCATAATCATATAAAGATAAAAATATATAATTTACCTAAAATTATCTAAAATTAAAAAAATATATGTTAATAAAGTTTATAAAAATATAGAAGTGTCGGATATTACAATTATTATAAAAAATATCAGTGTGAAAAACTTAACAAATTAAAATAATACTATAAATAAAAATTAATTTCCAATATAAAAACGAATACGTTTAAAATTAAAATTTAACTTACTCCTATTTATTTCTGCAAAACAATTATTTATTGCAATCTGAAATCTGCAAAAACAGATTGAAAAAGATTTGGCACACACACGATACCGTGTGTACGGACACTGACAGCACTCACATGCAATGTCTCAAACTAAGCTTGGTTTTTTTAGGTAACTTTATTTTATACTTTATTCCACACCAACTTCGAAACCTAATTTATGTCACTCCGACGCTTGATTTTTATAGATAATTTTATTTTATACTTATATTTTACACATAAATATTAAAGATTCAACGTTTTAATCATAATTAAAATTAAAATTTACTAATCAGTTTATATAACGGTTCTATACCTTCGGAAACACCTTTCGAAAATCTATCAGTTTCTGTCACAATGGATCTCCCAACACTTCATCAACTATTATTCTTCACACATACCTCTCCATTTGATAGAACCCCTAAAAGCTCGTGTCTCAAAGAATAGACCCTCAAGTCAACTACAATGCCTAGATAAGACTTCTAACAAGTTCACATGATGCACCATAATGAAATCCAAAGTATGACTATCAGATTTACCTAATTTGTCAACCAGAAAATAGCCATGATAACTATATGATTGACACACACTAAAAGCTACTATAAATACCCTAAATCAAGACTGGAAAAGAGATTGAAACTCATATTGTTCTCGTATCATCTTCTTAATCATTTACGCTCAATTCTCCCCTTTATCCAAACACTGACTAACGATCGTCCTCTCACCGGCCGAGACTCTTCGCCCAAACTAAAAGAGGTGAACCACACATGGTTGACGAGCTAAACTTGTTCTCATCAATAATTAGTGCAATGAGCATGGATAGACTTCATGATTGAAAAATCAGTAAAAATCTCACCCAAACCCCAAAAGAGTCATCATCGTCACCCTCAAAAACCAAAACACTCATCCTCACATCCTACCTCAACCTCCCAAAACACACTCACCTCTTCGAATCACTCCGCGATAAAGAAGTTAGAGGGGGCACACTATGAAGAAAATGAAAGCAAGAAGGAGGAAGTATGAGCAACACCACTTGTCCCCTAAAAAAGGATCGTCTCCCTCATGTGCATTGAGGAACACATGAGCGACATTATTTTGGGCTCTATCGTGACTAGCCCCTTGCCTAGCATTACCACGCTCAAGAGGCTTGGCAACATGTTAGAGGAAACACATTGCGAACCGTAAGGAACCGCATCAGGGATGACGCCAACAAACTACTTCAACGGGTATCAACGAGCTCTGTCTAGCCCAAGTACTCGAAAATACCCTTTTCTTTAGAAATAACATATAATGTTTTAAACAGTTAATGCATGCAAGCATTTTGGTCTCTCAACCTTGGTATTGAGTCTCCTAAAAATTCTTCTTATTATCTGCCATATTTTCATGCCATCGAGTTACCTCCATTGTGATCCTCACTTAAAATGTTGAGATATTACACATGTAGACGTTTTGTGGGCAAACTGATGCATGTATCCAAACCCACGATCATGTCCTCTTTAAAATCCATGATATTCAAACCTTCTTGATGAATAAACAATGCCACCAAACCAAAGATGTAAATCAAGAAGGAAGTTTGATAGATGCTTTATTTAGTTGTTATTTCGACTTTAAATTTCTCCTTAATCGTTGTTTTTTGTGGCTTGT